GAACTTACTGGCCCCTGGCGGCCCTGTTCCTGGCTTGGTGCCTCCCGGGAGCGGTCCTGACTGCTCCGCTCAGGGGAACTCACACTTTTCCCGTTTGCCTGAGTGCAAAGAGCGACAGCCCCACTCGCCTCTCTTCCCCAGCCCGCCTGCCTCCCAGCTCTGGGCGTTGGGAAGTTCGCCCAGATGTCTAATCCAGATCCTGACTGCTGTCTTCTAGCCTCGTCTTTCCTGTTCTGTCCTCAAGACAGAGCATTGCCCTCACCTCCTCCCCAGGACTAGCCTCAGCCATTCCCTTCCCGCACATCTCTGTACGGCCTTGGGCAACACCCCAGGGCCTCAGTTTCCCCTCATGAGAGGAGGGAGATGAGTTGGGTAGAAGGAAGACCCCAGAGGACACGAATTCCAATCCTGATTCTGCCTCTGCTGGCTGTGTGACCTTGGACAGAACACTCGATTCTCTGTGCCTAGGTTTTCCCATCTGCAAAATGGAGCCAGCGCTGACCCACGTGGGGAAGGGGTGAAGGTTGTGGTTACCTGTGAACCACACTCAGCGTCTGGCACGGTGGGGGGTGTTCAATATTCCACGGAGCTTCTCAGGACCCTAGGCCTGCTGGGGTGCAGGGACAGTCACAACAGTGACCTCCCCATCCATCAGGGTGAAAGCCGGAATGGAGAGTGAAGGAGAGGGCAGGAGCCCCAGCAAGCTTGCTGGGAAGGTGGGCATTATGGGAAGGAGGGGATGCGGGCCAGGGATGTGGGGAGAAAGGGCACAGCTGAAGCGGAGGCTGGGCAGGGACAGGCGGCGATGTGGAGCGTGATAGGGAGCTCTGGGGACCGGTGGCTTGCCCGCAGGGCAGGGGGCTTTGCGCGGAGGTGGGTGGAGATGGGCTGTAGTTGATGAGCCAGAGGATCAGGAAGGACTCCGAAGGCCACACCAAGGAGCAAACCTCTGTCTGCCAGGGCCACAGCCCCCTGCGAGCTCTGGCCACCAGATAGCAGCTGGGTGGACAGCCTGGGCAGCCCTGGGGGTGGGCAGTGGGGGAGATCCTGGGCTTGCTAAAGCCCTCGAGCAGAGTGTGGGCAAGGGCAGCCTTCGCGCAGAGAAGGAGGGAGCCGGGCTTGGCCGGCACAGCTGCTCCCCCGTACCCATTCTAGAGAGGAAAACCGAGGCTCAGAGCTGTGGAAGCACCCGCCCAAAGCCCTTTCCTGTCTCCCAGGCTCTCGGCCAGCAGCTGCCCTCGAGAACAGGCTGCCGCTCAGGGCGGGAGAGCCAAGTGAGGAGCCAGAGTCCCTAGAGGTCAAGGCCAGGCACGAGCCACCTCTGTTCCCAGGGCCCAGCCCAGCACCCAGCCTCCGGCACCACCGAACCAAGGGAACGAGCGAGAAAGAAATGAATGAATGGGTGGTAATGTCCCCACATCCTGTGGTGGAGCCCATGTGACTCGCTCCTGTTGGGTGACTCTGCCTTCCTGGAGCACAGCGGGCAGGCAGGTCTGGAGAGGGAGCATCCCTGGTGAAGGTGGGGAGACAGGAAGCTTCGTGGCCAGCTAAGAGCAGTGTGGCCAGAGCCCAGGGGGCAGGGGTGTCACTCACCCCGATGGTGATGAGCCACCGTGGTGGAGGGTGGGGGCTGCCTGTGGATGCTCCTGAAATCGCAGCCTCAGAGGCGGAGCCTCGGGCTAGGGGTCAGGTGGGCCCCCAGGCGGGCTGGGCGGTGTGGGCTCGACGCTTCAGGCAGGGCCCCTCGGAGGATGTGCCGGGCGGCCCTGGGAGGCCGGGGCTGGGGTTGAACCGTGGCCAAGAAGTAAGTACAGTCTGGGCACCAGGGCCGGGGCATTCTCGAAGCTCCTTCCTCATTCCTGGCCCTGTGGGAGTAGCCGGACCCCAGCGTTCCGAGGCAGCCACCACCGCGGATTTGCTTACCGTCTCGCAGGGAACCGGGGCCTCCTGCCAAACTAGCCAGCCCGGGGCCCGGGCCCCATGGGCCCCCCCCCCAACCACTGAGTGCTGGCCTGGGCCCCCTCCTGCTCTCAGATGAGGACACTGAGGCCATATATCGAGTAGGGCCACCCTAGAAGCTGTCCACGCCCGAGTAGGAAGGAATGGGCTTGGGCTGCAAGTCCAGGGTGTTTTGCGTCGGCCTCCGGGCCTCCACACCCCACAGGAACACGTCCTTCTCGGAAAGCCCACCTGGTGGCCTCTCCACTGGGATCCGGGTCCAGGGCCAGGCTCCGTGGGTGCCCTGGCGGGCGCAGCGTGGAAGGGGCTTGTTTGATCAGCGGTTCCGCCCGATGCCAGGCTGCTGGGACAGCGGGCAGCGGCCAAACCGGCCCCGCCGCATGCCTTCCGGCCCTCGGCAGGAATGCCATTCATCCCTCCGGTGCTCGCACGGTTACCGCAGTGTTGAGGCCCGGTGGCACCCGGGCCTCTAGGGAAAAGCAGCCGAGCCTGGTGGCCAGCCAGGGGCTGCTGGGGGCCTCAGGCCATCTGCCCACGACTGGAGAGGGCGAGGAGCACCCCACAGGGGGCACCTGAACCAAACCCCACCAAACACAACTGACGCATCCGTAGGGGTCCTGAGGCCGGCCGGGGTCAGAAGAAGAAAGGACACACAGGGGGAGACACATGGGGCCAGGGCCTCCTGGCTGTGGGTCCTCCACTCCTAAGAGCCCACCCCCCACCTCCGGTGTTCTCGTAAGAACAGCCCCCACCCAGATCCATGCGTTGGCCCTGGCACCAGACCCATGGCCTCCTGACCTCACATCCTGAGCCCAGACTGTCCAGAGAGGCCTCGGGTCTATGTCCGGCCACCACCAGTGGCCCTTGCTGGGTGTGGTGGCCCCAAAGGTGCCCGGAGGCCGGCGCGACTCAAGGCCTCGCTTGGGACCCGGGCAAAGGTGTGAGAATGGAGACACGTGGGCATCGTGCCAGCCCAGCCTGCAGAAAGGGGTAAGGAATCAGAAGGGTGGGGGCACCTGAGGGCCAGGGGGCTTAAGGCTCAGGGCCGGCCCTCAATGGACAGCACACACATCCCCACCCCCCGGGGACAAGAGCTGCAGGGGCGTCGCACGGGCTCCACGCACACTCACTTCTGATTCCAGCTTTATTGGAGCTGGGCGCTCCCCTCCAGGGAAGGCAAGACACAGCCCGTCGGAAACCCAGCAGCTCTCCCGAAGTGGGAGGCGCTACGGGGACAACGCAGTGCCCAGACCGCCACCGCCCCACGCGGGCCGCGCCGACCCCCGTTCACCCAAGGGAAGGGTCGCTGCTGACAGTTAAGGAGGGCAGGGTCTCAGCAGGGGTGCCTGGACAGTGCGCGTGACTCAATGGCATCAGGAGGCCCCAAGAGTCTGTTTCAAGCAGGAGGAGGAGCCTGGCTCCGGGGAATGCTTGAGGCTGTCCCCTCCCTCCAGTACCCAGTGTAGGTCACAATAATTTAAAAGACATGATAGACACTTTAACGCTATATAACAATATAAGTTAACCAGGTTCCTTGGCAGAAGGTGCTGGGCCCGTGGACTCAGTGGTGTCCTGGGACCCGGGGAGGCGGGGCGGGGGAGGGGGTGCTGTGCAGGTCGGGGGCATTCACGGCAGCCAGGAAGTGCCCAGAACAGCAGCCAATGGCATGTCCTGGCACCATCAGGGGCACAACAGGGTGGACGCCAGGGCCCAGACAGTGTCACTCACCCCTGGCTAATGTCTCGCCCACTTGGCCGGGCAGCTGCCTGAGGACACATTTCCACAGGTTTCTACAAGTAAATACCCTATATTTGGGTGGGGGAGGGCACAGGAGCAGTGGTGGGCACACCGGGAGCCAGCTGCACACCATCCTTGCTGGCAGGTTCACCTCCTCTGGGCTTCAGACTCCCCAGGGGAGGGTGGGAATGTTCACAGAGGATGCATCGCCCCAAGTCCCAGGGTTTGGGCCCCTCCCCACCCTGCCCGTGGTTTAGAACCGAGGGGGACCCTTCTCGTCCTCCTCTCCCAGGTTTCAGGGAGAGTTGAACTTTAAGAGGAGGGTGTGCATGGGGGGACCCTGGGGGAGGTGTCTGGAGGGCAGCAGGTGGGGAGCTCTGGCCAAGTGTCCTCGTGGATCCAAGTTTTCTCGGCATTGGGATCAGGGCCAAAGGAGTAGGACTGGGCACGGGGCCACTAGAGAAATCCCAGCAGGCACCTCTGAGGGTGTAGGTCCCAGTGTGGCTGGCAGCAGGGGATGAGGGGAGCAGCCAGATTTCACAAAACATGGGGTCAGTCTCATGCCAACCTGGATGTCCCCAGAGTAGGTCTTCCAGGGGCAGGAGCCCTGGCCTGGGGGGTCAGGATGCCCGAGCCAAGGCAGGAGCCTCCACTCATGGCCTCGGGGCCTCTGGCTAATTCTTGAGCCATTCTGGGACTCAGTGTCCGCATCTGCCAAAGGCAGCACCCCCCCTCCCCGCCCCGAACCACCCCCACCCCACCAGCCCGCCACCAGCACACTGCTGTCCTAGGGTTTCAGCTGGCTCCAGGGGGGCAGGGGGCTCTGTAAACTGGGTGCCAGGCTGGAGGGGGGACCGGGAGGGTGACAGCATCGGGGAGGGAACACAGCACTCCTGGAACCTGACATAGGTGACACTTTGATTTGTTGGATGTGATTTTTTAAAAAGAAGGATCCCTGCCGGTGGCTCCCCTCAGAGGCCCCCTGGGGGCAGGGCCAGGAGAGAGCTGGGCACGGAGATGCTCCCTGGGGTCTAGAGAGGCGGGGACAGGGAGCAGAGGGCCACAAGGGAACGCGCTAACACGGAGTACAGAGTTAGGACTGGCTATGCCTTAGTGCTAAGAATCCTTTTCTGATACTAAGAAAACATAAATAAAATGTGTCAGCATCTGCCCAGACCACCCGGGGGGGGGGGGGGGG